ACCCTCAGCAAGTCAACGAGAAAACAACCACGTGGTAGGCATCACTGTTTATCCGTGTTGCCTAGCGACCGCGATATCCCTTGGTGACGTCACTGCGGGGAGAGTGGTGGGGTGATGACTCACCTATTACGCAAGCGCTACGTTACCGCCGGGGAGGTAGGGGTCACATGTCACAATATATTTGCAGAACCCTCTTCTCAAGAGTGACAAGGTGGCACACATTTGGCCCCTGTCAAAAGAAATAATAAGAGGGACACGAACCAGCTTGGTTTATGAATTCCAATAGAATCTTAACAAAACTAATTATAAATATTTTAATATAATAGTAATCTTAACCAGTCACACTGGACAGAACTGTTTAACTTTTTCATCATCTTAGTGTGATGGACCAGAATGAAACAAATCAAATTCGTATATGTTAGTTGAATGGGGAGAGTGTAGATCCCTGTAAAGAGTTCTCACCCTGCGGAAGCCATCCAGCAGGAGCTGAGGGTTGAGTGGCTCGCAAGTTTTCCGTGATTCAGCTAGCATGGGCAAGAGGTTCTTGCACCAGAAATGCTTGTTTGCTGCATAGATATCGGGTATATTGCTGAATAGGCGAGCTTTATCTACATCATTCAGGATGTTTGCTGCTTGCAGATTACACAGACATGCCAAGAACAGCTGCAACAATAGTTTTAAGTTAGCAGAATTCAAGGAATAAGACTGTGGCAATAGCCTCAATACCAGTAAAAGGGGAATTCTGTTTCACTGCTGGTCTACTATACTTTGGGAAGTAACGTCTGGTAAAAAATGTTAATGCAACATTGGACCTATTTCAAACTGTTGAAGAGCTATGGATGTTTTAAAACGTGCAAATGATAAATGCCTACTTCTGTGAAATTTATTAGACGACAACATTGATAACTGTTTAGTTCAATTCTGTGAAATTCAATACATGATAACAATGGTGAAGGTTTCTGTTGAATTTTAGCCACTATTCATTGTCAGTTGTTTCTGAGCCATCCTTAGAATCAAATGTGACACTGCATTGTAATAAGGCCTAAATGATACTGGCACATAAAATAAATAAATTAATCTTATCAATGATCTTATTTATTTTCTTCTGTACACACCTAAAAAATTCACAAAATCTCAATGACTGAAAAAAAAATTGTTGTATTAACATTTTTATTTGACATTACTTCCAGAATCTCCTCCTGAATTTTGGCAGACTGGTTTTCTGCCACAAGTGAATCTACATTCCTTACTGGGAATACTTGTGATATCTAAATGTAGATGGAATGACAGTAATAGAAAAGATGTTTTATTAATTTTAGGAGTGGGGTGAGTACCTTGGTACAGCAGCCACAAATATATCTACTCTACCAGCCCCTCACAATGATAGGGATGAGGACATATAAATATGAACTAGTGACAGAAAGACAAATAACAGGCAAAAAACATTGCAGTTGGAAAAAACTCTGTCCAAATATCACTGTATCCTACCTATACAGACTGCCCTGTGTCTAAGCCTGGGCCTTCATGGTAAGAAATTGGCGTCTAACAACCTGAGGTAAAAGTAAAGTAAAAGTAAAGCTATCGCTGTAACAGGCCGTGAAGGCCCATAGGGTTGTGAGACGTTGAGGATCCCACATTATGTAGACAATCGGCTCAAAGATGGTTGTAAGGTTGTCAGCCTGACGTGCTTGGCCGTGCTTTACTCCCCAAGAAAATTATTTAATTCATTTCTGGTACTCATGTCTGTTAGAGGCTGATTTGACCCCAGGGCCATAGTGCGGCTCGAAGGATTAAGTCAATTGAAAAAATCCAACGACCTCATCGGGACTTGAACCAGCGACCTTCTGGCTTGTAGCATAGTGCCTCAACCACTATGCTACCACGTGCCCCAACAACCTGAGGTATGGCACAGTTTCCTTTACCTCCACTACTGCCATTAGTGATGGTGAATACTTCAAGTACGATTGAAAGTATCTGGAGGTAGTACTTACATTTGTTATGACCCTGAGTGTGCGAATGTATGCGATTTCTGTGGAGAGCAGCTCCCAGATGGCAGTCTGCTGTTGGCGATGCTTCTCACTGAGGTCACCAGCTGATGTCACCACACTCTGCCAGTCATCCTCCAAATCATATATACCTAAACAGCCAATGCAAATCTAGTGATTCCGTGAAGTGCATGACAGTGGTCAATCCAGTACACATCATTTACATGAGTATTACACAGAGTTCAATGTCTGAAACATATTAATTACACAGTCCTCAGAGTTAGTAGCAGCCATTTGCATGACATCCCACAGAATTTACATTTATAGAATAAGAAGTTTCAGTACTTATAAGGGATAAGAAATGGTTAAAACATGGGCAAGACAGATAATCCCTGGATGTGAAAAGAGGAGAAAATTTCCATCTGAAAATAAAAAAGAAATTTGAGTTATTACCAAAATTTGGATATAAAAAATTATATAAGAAAATATGACACCTGAATTGGTTACCTTCATCATTGTCATCTTCTGCCTGCTGTTGTTGCTGGGGAATCCCATGTTTGCTGTAATAGTTGAGTTGTTCCACAAGGCTTTCCATTTTTGTGTCCTAGAACACAAAAGTCTCTGGCAATATAAGAAGACATACAAGTTGCAGTGTGTATTTCAAAGAGTTACCACAAAATTTATCTCTCCAAACACTTATTTGCTACCATCTTAATACCTTGCTGTTCCCAAATAGGCCACTCCAGCGTTGTTTGGGACCCTTGGATCCCTTGAAAGAGCCCTCATGGCTAGTTTCAGCCAAGTAGTTGGGGTCCTCAGTGCTGGCGCTGAAGAATCGACCACTGCTCGAGCCTCGGTAGCTCTGTTATGAAAGCAAACAAATTCATAGGATATTTCCATATTTCTGTTATCAATGAGACTGTAAATTCAGTCATTGTACTCACCCCAGAAGTCTTCCTTAGGGGCACTTGACTGTTGGAGGGTTTCACCAGACCGCGTGCAGAGCTCCTATCATCACGTGCTACAACAAATCCACAGACTGGATCACAACTACAGGCTGAACCAGAAAATATTATACTAATTGAGACAAACAGGAAATCATAAAATGCTGCAATGGTGTTTTTTTTTATTGCTAGTGAGGTCGGACTAAGTCCCTTGTACTGGGGCCACTTCTGGCCTATTGTACCAGCCCCAGATGATAATAGGTGAGGGTGATTGTGGAGCAATTGGTGGAATGAAGATTGGCAGGGGAAACTGAAGTACTCGGAGAAAACCTGCCCCAGCGCCACTTTGTCCACCACAAATCCCACTGGAGAAAATATGACAGGTTGGCAATAAAGCTTTAAATTGGTGTAACGGTAAGAATTTTTTTGATATCTCATTTCACTCTAGTGCTGTCACTTGCCTACCAAACAGTAAAATAAAAGAAAGAGTATTTCATTATATACTTGGTGAAGAATTCAGAATAACATGGAATTTAAGCATGTGAAGAATGTGAGACGTGCTTCAAAGCTTTGCACACAGTCTATAAGTATGCTTATATAATCTGCTGAACACTATAATTCATCTGCTACGAAATTCCATGTATAATTGTCACAAGATCAAAAGATTACTCTATGTTTCAGCCCAAAGCAGCAGCAGAAGAAGAAGAAGAAGAAGAAGAAGAAGGTGTTTAAATATCAATAGAATTAATTCCTACATATTTTTTTCCTCTAGTTGTTTAACCATAGTACGTCAAATTCAGATTTTACATGGTAGTAAATGAAAACACGCAATATGTTTGTAGCGAGTGAAATTGGAAAGCTCTGAAAGGAAGTAGCTATGATCGCGTTTAAGAGGCTATCACATCATTCACCCTTGAGGATCTAGGGTAAGACATGGACCAGTCAAGACTCTGGAAGTGCACATTGTCCAGAATTGGGACACGTTAACATCTTACATTGGCAACCTCAGAGAAGAAAAATCATATTTGCTAATAATTGTGTAATCAGAATGCCGTCTTTTTGGATGTGGCGCCGTGCAGATATTTTGTTGACTGACATTTCGAAGGAACGTATCGCTTCCATTTTCAGGGTATAAGAAATCCGCCACAACCCAGAAGACGGCGTTCTTCATAGTCACCGCCGTGAAAACCTCAGTATGGAACTTCTCAAATGCAAAGAAAATGAAACAATCATGCAAGTCAAAACTTCAGCCTCTTCCATGGAGCGATATAAACGTTAATTTAATTTAGCTCTTAAATAAAATATCAGTACTGTAGGAACGAAACGACAAATTTAATTTTAAGTGCATATGGCTTATTCAACATTAATTAAGAAAGGACTACTACTCTAACGGCAACAGAGATCTGACTTATAGCTGTACAAGAGGCCGCGCCAGAGTTCAAGCGGTTAGTCGCTGGCCCGGGTTCGATCCCAGGTCTGGTTAAGTGGGATTTGTGGTGAACAAAGTGGCGCTGGGGCGGGTTTTCTCCGAGTACTTGGGTTTCCCTTGCCAATCTTCTTTCCACCAATTGCTCCACAATCACCCTCACCTATCATCTGGGCCTGGTACAATAGGCCAGAAGTGGCGGCAGTAAAAGGGACTTAGTCCCACCCCACTAGCAATAAAAAAAAATATAGCTGTATAATGTAGGCTGCTAAGGTACAGTGCGGACTAAAAGTTACGCCCAGGGCCGGAGCACAAACACGTCTCGCAAGAGGTCCCTTGAATTTTGTCACCAACCTTAGGTGAATAGTTTGCTATTATGTGACGAAAGGCACTACCGCATTGCTGACTGTACAGCTGGTTGCAGCGATATTGCCCCTTGCTAGCAGAAATGTGTAGCTTCAGCAGTTTTGTTTGCAATAATCTTATATGTATTCGAAATATTTACTTTCAATGCAGTCAAAACTAAAAAGAAAATTCAAATTCTTTACTTCTAAACACGTTGTCCATGCGCGTTTTTTAAAAGCTGCATTCGCCATTTCTGGCAACACACCTCTCGCATCGTCACGAAAACACAACATAAAAATTGTTTACATTTCGGAACGTGCAATGAATACAATCATTACGATTATTAAAAGGCATTCATGAAAGGTGTTGCTATATGGCATGTAAACAAAACCACTGATTTGTGTTCTGATGGCGACAAGTGACTCAGCTCCAAGTTCTCCATTTCGTTGGGGAGACCTACAGGGTCTACCTACTATTTCAGATGCCACGCTTGCTTTCTTCTGCAGTTCCGTATTTTGTTGTCGTCGTCGTCGAGTGGTCTTCTGTAACAGGCTACTGCGGTTGGCAAGCATCTAATAAATTTATTGAAACGTTGCTGTCGATTCATAAGGCTTATTTGTTCATACCCTTAGTTTCACTTCTGTCATTTTGTTTCCAGTACTTTTTTATCGCTAGTGGGTAATTTTGGAGCAATTGGTGGAATGAAGACTGGCAGGGGAAACCGAAGTACTCGGAGAAAACCTGCCCCAGCGCCACTTTGTCCACCACAAATCCCGGGATCGAACCCGGGCCGCCGCGGTGGGAAGCCAGCGACTAACTGCTTGAGCTATGGCGCGACCCTTTGTTTCCAGTAACTTGTCAATTGTGTTTTATTCCTATTTGTTAAAGTATCTTTGCATCTTCTTTCTTTTGTATTATGCTTTTCTTTTGCAGTGCTTGCCTGTAACTCACTTCACAAATGTCAAACACGTTCATAAATTAGCTGAATTATTACCGCTATTAAAGCAAAGATTAATGACCGCCTCTGTGGTCTAGTGGTCATAGTTACTGGCTACAGATCCAGACGTCCGGGTTCGATTCCCGGTGCTACCAGATTTTCTGAGAAGTAGTGGGTCTGTAACGGGGTCCACTCAGCCTCGTGGGGATAATTGAGGAGCTATTTCAAGGAAACAGCGGCTCTGGTCTCGAAAACCGAGATT